AATTCACCAGATCTAGACCGACTTTTATATAGATGGTAGATAGTGTTTAGTTGTCCTAATTATTACATGATTTGCTTCTAAATATTAAATAAAACTAGATTCTAAATTAAAGGGCAAATGAAATGTTACACAATTAGTGTGAACTATGACACTGGTAACTGGACTCTAGATCTAGATCAATGATGTTGGGGAAAAAAATTATATACAGTAGGGCCTAAATAAATATTACTAAAATGAACAAAAAAAATTGTATTGGATCTTAGTATTTTAAAAAAATGGAAGAGGTGTACTCAACTTAAACAATCCCAGACGTCAGGTCTTCAAGACAACTCCAGATCCCACACTCCATAGGTCACATCAGATTCAGGCGATGACTTGTAGTACACATGCTGGTATAGTCCAAGTCAGTCACACACACTGGATTGGTGACGCAGATTGACGTCGACTTGTACTTCGAGAATCCAGGCAGATAATATAGTTCTTGTAGTTCGGGAATTCATCTCGACCAATACTGGGTTGAACAAACGAAGAAAATTCTCGTCTGCACTGTCGATAAGGTCAACCACTAAGAAATGTGACATGATGAAGGTCAGGGACGTCATCAAAACATGTAGGCCAAACAATTCAGCCGATCACGACGATGTGGGTTAGACGAGGGTGATGACGTAAACTCTTCCAACGAACAGTTGACGATGTAGGAAGAAACCCGAAAACTAAGCATCAGTCATGAAGAAAATCTGCATAACGACGAAAACAGCACGGCCATTGTAGAAGGTCGGGGACGAGTGGCGATGACGTCATAATAAACAACTCTGGACATCAAATAAATGCCGGCCTTTGAACTACTGCTCAGCACGAACCAAAGATGAAAACGGTCACATCCGTAGTTCTAACCTTGACGGGAATCAATGGGCGATGAGAGACCCGATACAGTCGCTGGATATCGCGCCGGTCAACCAGAAGTCCGTCTCCGGCAAACGACGACGAATCGAGCAGGCCACATCACGCGTCGAAAAGTCCATCCATCACGGTCCAAGGTCAGGGTCTGGTACACAACTGAGTCCCGATCAAATTAAACAACCGTTGATACTGATGATTACGACGTACTGCCGTAGATAACGGGCGAATCTAGATCTAGATGAAGGCATACTGCTGGCCACAGATGAGATGACATTACGGCAAGTGTAGATGGGAACGTACTGTGCGACAGATAAGTTCAGCAAACCGCTGCTTCCACCATATGTTGCGAAGTGAGTTTCGGTACAGGGTCGATGCCGAACATGACGAACAATAGAAGACGACGATCCAATGAAGAACACAGAATGACGCTTTCATTGGGTCCATTCACAACACCCCCCTCCTTTCCCCTAACCCCGACCCTACACCCCCCCCCCCGTGAAAGCAGCCTCCTCTTAGTTACCTCCTGTAAGTTTAAAGTCGGTTCAAACTTAATTATCTGCCCCTAATAGCCGTCACTAAACCTGGCTGTACGGTTTGTAAACATTAACGTGACCACAGCTCAGCAGACCATGTGGGGGTGGGGTAGGGTGGTAGTGATAGTGATAGAGAGAAAGAGAGGGGACTGTAAGGAGGCGCTTGCAGCTTGTTTTCTAACGGCTCGCAGAGGAGAATTATATATATAGATTATATAGCGGTCTAAAATGCTCAATAAAATGTTTCCATGGATCAATTTAGTAATAATAACAGTTGAATATTCTATTGTCATCCAAAACAAAGCTTCCCTGAAAATTTCAGCGCGCTAGCTAACTGGGAAGTGCCAGAAATTTCGATCGCAAGATTTGATTGGAAAGACAGAGACGAAAGCAAGTTAAAGAAAACGTGGGAAAAACGAGACCTTCAATATCGATATAGTCATAACTCTAAACAAAATCCCAAAACAAAGAGACAGGACGGACCTAGAGCAAAAAAGCAAGGACGGTAGCTATATATAGACAGACTATTTGGAACAGTAGAATAAAAGCAAAACACGACAAGGTACAGTTCACGGGACAAGTACTAGACTTGATTTATCGTAGACGACTCGACAATGACAGCACTCAAACACATATACCATAATTAGCAACACCACAACGTAAAGAACATATTACACTGCATTTGCCACCTGGCCCGCCTAATCTAACCGACACATCCCCTTTCATCACACCCTCCCCGCCCCCGCCCCTCGCCCCCATGATCCCAATATCAAATTTCCCCTCATAACTGCATCCCCTTCGTCCCCACCCCTGTGTTGAAATACTATGTTAAATACTGAAGATGATGTATTATCCAAATACATTTCTAACAACATTAATTTGACTCCCACCCCTCAACCCCCATGTCCCCACCTTGTTTCGCATCATTTATCATTTGTCATTCAGTTTCCTATTGTTGCTTTTGTGTATTGTTTTATTTATAAAGCTTACAAACATTGTAAAGCCATCATTTGTTTCTATTTTACTATTATCATATATGTAAGGTACTTTGGTCCACAACGTACAAAATGACCCCAATGACCCCTACTCCTTTTGTATTCATTTTATTATCACCAAATTAATACTTACAGTTGTTTGGTTAACTTTACAAACTCTTTTATGAGAACACTGTTAACAAATTTTTGACCTTTAAAACTCCACTGTATCCCCACACCCCGTGATAGCTACACGCCTACACTCCCCTAACCTGTCGGTACTAAACATTCAAATAAACATAAACATCGACTTGAACATACCAACCTTTCACCCTCCCGCTTAATCGCTCACACAGCAATCTGTTCGTCAAACCCTCCCCCCCCCCCCCCCACCCACACACCCTATAAATAGTAACACCTCAGTAGTTAGATAACACAGCACATATTTTGACGCTTGGCTTGCCTTAAAAACACACAGACACCCTCTTCATGCCTCGTCAGACACATCTACCCCTTCTCCCCCTCTATCCACTTCACCCTCAGACATGATAACCCCACATTCCCTTTAACTGTTCAAACGACCCCACCACCCACCTCAACATCAATTTCGAATATCTATTCATTTACTTATTTAAAGTTCTAAATTTTGTTTCTTTCCCCTCATCTTTCACACAGCAACCTTTTGAAAACTCAATGCGACCAGTACATAAATAAACACTCTTTCAGCTAGTCAACTTAATTTGTTTCCCTACATAGAAAATGCTTCACTGTTCCATTGACCCTCTCTGAAAAATTTCCTTTCCTCTCCCCACCCAGATTTCTGACACTTTCATTTAAATTTCACCCCTTTTACTGTCATCCTTTGCAATTTTTTATAATCATATACATGACATCATGTAAATATTCATTATGTACATTTGCAAAACCTTTCGTTTTCATTTGATGTTCGAAATTATGTAAAAAAAAAAATGTGATGTTGATGTACTTGTTTTACTTGCAAATAAAAGGATTAAAAAAAAATTAATGAACTAGTTCTAAAAAAAATGAACTAGTTCTAAATAAAAATATATAAAAATTAGAAAAAAAATGCAAAACAGACTAATGCACGCACACACATGACATGTAATTTGTGTAGATTGAAAAAAAAGACATTTTTTTCAAACCCGATCAAACCAGAAATGAGTTCTGTGTTTGTATATATATATATATATATATATATATATATATATATATATATATATATATATATATATATATATATATATATATATATATATATATATATATATATATGTATATATATATGTATATATATATGTATATATATATGTATATATATATGTATATATATATGTATATATATATGTATATATATATGTATATATATATGTATATATATATATATATATATATATATATATATATATATATATATATATATATATATGTATATATATATATATAGGAGGGGGCTCAGAACTTTTTTTTTTGCGGGGTGGCCCTTTTTTTCTAGTTCCGCCACTGGTTCCAGCCACTCTTGGATCGCATATAGACATAAATAAATTACAGACACAAAGCCTGCCATCTGTTAAGAGCTATGGATATTCTGTATTTCTACACAGTCAGATCTACTGTAGGTGTCATGATTTATTTTTTGTGATTTTTTAAAAAAGAAGCATTTTTGACAGATTGTGAACCCCTCCACTATTCTGATTAAAGTTATGTTTCAAACGTGCATGTTAGAGGCATACAGGTTACTTAAATTGAAAGAAGCGTTGTTCCCCTACATTTTGATTTACTTATCACGTATGTTCTTTCATCAGACATTTTTGGTGAATTTTTAAAAATGTACACAATTTGTGTTTTTTTGCCTACCTTTTTTAATTTTATCAAAAAGTGTGAAAAGCCAATTTCAATGCAATTTATTTAAATATTATTTTTGAGGTTTGAAAAAAGTTGAGTCTGTTCTCTAAGAGGTTTTGTGTTGAGTTCTAAAGATTGATTTTATCTGATATACTTTTAAAGATACTATTGGTTTATCTGATATACTTTTACAGATACTATTGGTTTATCTGATATTCTTTTACAGATACAACTCCCCCCCCCCCCGGAGTTATAAAGATTGAGTTTATGTGATATACTTTCACAGATACAACTCTCTCTCCCCACCCCGCCCAAAAAAATGGTATTTTTTAGGATGTCGAAAAAAAAATAGAAAAACCGAACTTTTCAAAACGTCACTTCTCTTTTACTACTTGAGATGTATGAACAACTTTGGTACCCACTGTCTTAAAATCGTGAGTTCTTGACATAGCAACTTTCAAAAAAGCTCTGGGACCGTTTTAAAAAAAAACTGTGTGACACACCTAGTTACCTTTAAAATGTTTAAAATAATTCACATTTCGTAATTACTGTTTCATGTTCCGAGTGGGGTGTGTTCATGTAAGGTGTAAAATAAATGTTATTTGGGTGTGTTAGGGTTAGGTTTACAGTTGGACTATCCTTTTTAAAACAATTTTAGCACCCGAATCTGCAAATTAAATGCTTCAAATTATTAAAGTAAAAACAAAAACCACACTTTCATTTTGTTACTTTATTTTTCTAAGTCTTTATGTTTTACCATTATTATTTAAAGCATTTCAAATACAAATCAATATACAACGTACATACAGCTAACTTGATTCAATCGGCATCGATAAAATGGGAGGTATTACATCTTGACCTAGCTCTGCAGATAACGATTGGAGTAGTTTAGCTGGAGACTTATTTTCATGCGAATGTTGATTATGGGCTAACTAGTGTTGATTATGGTCTAACTAATGTTGATTATGGGCTAACTAATGTTGATTATGGGCTAACTAATGTTGATTATGGGCTAACTAATGTTGACAGGTTTTATTCAAAGCTAAACTGTGCACATCTTTATATGCATAAATGATAGTTAGATGAACTAGTAATATTAAGTGTAAATCCTAGTCTAATTTTGCTTATGAATATTATTTACTTTAAATCTAATGTTGGTTGTGAATAAAAATTCTAAAGCAGATGAAGGTTTTCAACGATACAAAACCTTGTGAGTTTTTGAGTAGGCAGATGCGTTAATTACATTAAAGATGTAGGAAATCAAAAAATTTGGACACATTTAATCACATTGAATAGGTGAAACTAATTAATCTAGGAAGGTGTAATCACACTTATAACCTAGGCAGGTATAATCACACTTATGACATAGGCAGGTGTAATCACACTTATGACATAGGGAGGTGTAATCACACTTATAACCTAGGCAAGTGTAATCACACTTATGACATAAGAAGGTGTAATCACACTTATAACCTAGGCAAGTGTAATCACACTTATGACATAGGAAGGTGTAATCACACTTATAACCTAGGCAAGTGTAATCACACTTATGACATAGGAAGGTGTAATCACACTTATGACATAGGATTTAAAGAAAAGCTGCCTACAGCTAACCCACTACCCCCTTCGCTTCGTTAGTAAAATGCCAACATTTAGTGTGACAGATTGTTCTTTTCTTCCATTAGGTGTGACAGAGTGATATTTAATGTCACATTTAGAGATGCGGATAAGGTGACAGACACAGCTATGTTCAATAATAACCGAACATGAAAAATGCTTCCACAAATGTCAGTGGTATCCGCAAATATCCACATATGTTAGTGGTATCCACAAATGTCAATGGTATCCACAAATGTCGGTGGTATCCACAAATGTCAGTGGTATCAACAAATGTCAGTGACATCCGCAACTTGCAACCACCATGTCGTCGTACTGTTTCAAGATGACGTTCTCGTTGTCATCGAAGTAGAGCAGGCTGATGGAGTAGAGTTTGTTGGGGACGCAACACGGCGTGCCCACATCTTTCACCACGCCCAGAGCGTGAACGATGCTCTGAACGGTTGCGTGGTTGGTTGGTTTCTGGTTCTGTCCCAGAGGAAACGGGCACTCGCCCGCACAGTGATAAGCGTTGTAGCTGTTGGGCGAGATGATCCAGCCCGACCAGCCGATCTCCTCAAAGTCCACGAACATCTCGTACCGTGAACACGAGCGACGGTTCGGCCGGAAGTGCTGCGGCGTAAAAGTTCTTTTCTTCCGGGCAGCATCTCGGTGTTTGGTGCTTCTTCGACTTCTGGCACTGCTGTTAGAGCGGTGAACATTCCTGTTGCGCTCGTTTAGTTTGCGCACGCTGTTCTTGAAGCTGTCGTTTGTGTGCATCTGTCGGCTCAATGCGTCTTCCTTTATTTGGACATACTCTGCAACGAGATTTATTGATTTAAAATACACACACGTGTGCGTGGGCATGCTTGTTCGTGTGCAAGTACGGGTACGGGGACATGGACGGGGACACAGACACAGCCAACCAACCAACCAGCCAGCCAGCCAGCCAGCCAGCCAGCCAGCCAGCCAGCCAGCCAGCCAGCCAGCCAGCCAGCCAGCCAGCCAGCCAGCCAGCCAGCCAGCCAGCCAGCCAGCCAGCCAGCCAGCCAGCCAGCCAGCCAGCCAGACAGACAGACAGACAGACAGACAGACAGACAGACAGACAGACAGACAGACAGACAGACAGACAGACAGACAGACAGACAGACAGACAGACAGACAGACAGACAGACAGACAGACAGACAGACAGACAGACAGACAGACAGACAGACAGACAGACAGACAGACAGACAGACAGACAGACAGACAGACAGACAGACAGACAGACAGACAGACAGACAGACAGACAGACAGACAGACAGACAGACAGACAGACAGACAGACAGACAGACAGACAGACAGACAGACAGACAGACAGACAGACAGATAGATAGATAGATAGAGATAAGCATGGATGTGACCAGACAAAATAGGAAATTGTTTTCAGACAAGAACTTAATATTTTATCTATTTTTATGGCAGTTAAAGCAGTCTCCCACCGTTACTGTACTAATTAATTGTTTAATGAAGCTAATATTTTAAATAAAAGAAGTTTACTGTACTAATTAATTGTTTAATGAAGCTAATATTTGTTTAAAAGAAGTTTACCGTACTAATTAATTGTTTGATGAAGCTAATATTTTAAATAAAAGAAGTTTACTGTACTAATTAATTGTTTGATGAAGCTAATATTTTAAATAAAAGAAGTTTACTGTACTAGTTAATTGCTTAATGAAGCTAATATTTTAAATAAAAGAAGTTTACTGTACTAATTAATTGTTTGATGAAGCTAATATTTTAAATAAAAGAAGTTTACTGTACTAATTAATTGTTTGATGAAGCTAATATTTTAAATAAAATAAGTTTACTGTATTAATTATTTGTTTGATGAAGCTAATATCTATCTATCTATATATATATAAAGCAATGTATGTGTGTCTGTTTGTTTGTTTGTTTGTTTGTCTTTTATGCATTACTACACCTCTCATCACATAGCCATAAAACTTTGGGAAGATGTTGAGAATACTCCTGGGGAGGTTTCTGCGCAAAAAAAAAAACATTTTCAAATTCGCAGGGGTGGCGCCCCGGCAGGGCGCGATTTGTTTTTTTCTTTATAACGTTATATAAAAATAAAAGTCGATTGGGGTTTCACGCCGTTCATCAGATAGCCATCAAACATTGGGGACTTTATTATAACACTTCAAGGAAGGGTTCTGCAAAAAAATCTTTTATAATTTCGTAAGGGCGGCGCCACGGTAGGGTGCGATTTTTCTCTATATACGGTATATAAAAATAATAAAAGTGAATTGCAGTGACACCGTTCACACGATCGCCATGAAACTTTGGGAAGATGTTGAGAATATTCCTGGGGAGGTTTCTGCGGAAAAAAAAAAATTTCAAATTCGCAGGGGTGGCGCCCCGGCAGGGCACGATTTGTTTTTATCTACATACAGTATATAAGAATATAATTCGATTGTGGTTTGTCACCATTCATCCGATCGCCATGAAAGTTTAAGGAGTTGATGAATAATCTCGATAATGTTTCGGGGGGGGGGGGTAATTTTGCACGGGCGGCCCCGGCAGGATGCGATTTGGCGACTACGTTCGTTCTAAACAGTATGATAGACAATGGGTAAGACGGGGCGCTACAGTCGCTTACTATATGGAACCAGCGTGTCCACCGGCGACCTGGTAGGGTGCGATTTAACTGCGAACACAAATTTCAGTTTCGGCCCCAAAAGGCTCACATGGGCCGCTGAGGGCCCTGTAATATATTTTTTAATAATCAGAAAAATTAACCAAGGTTAGATTATTAACTGGGTTGTTTCCTTTTATCCGTAAAAAAAAAGTCCAAACCATTTTGTCACGTTGCGAATGATGCATTTAATATCTATTTTTAGACAATCCAATCAGAGATTAAGATTGAGCTTCTAAAAATACACCATTAGTAATGCAACAAATTTCATCAGTCACACTACGTGTTAAAGAAAAAATCCTGTTGATTTGTGTAACTTTAGCGCATGACGCAATCTGCATCATTGTTTAATGATGCTATGTGGCGCTCTGGGTTATCCTGTGAGTACTATAGCGCCTATGTTAGTTTTAAGGAGCCAGGGGTCGTACGCGGAGCATCTGCGGTAGTGTATTCGGGGGCTCCAGAGAGCGTCCCTATACGTCACTGACATATGGGTGGTCACCGAAGTGTGTTCTACCTCATTTTTTCTGTTAGTGACTAACGTACACGCAAAATTTTCATGCGGTAGTGTAGGTAAACCCGTGTCCCGATATTTATGATTCAAGTGCAGGCATTGTTTACATTTAAATAACTCACTTTTACAAAACAAGGTCAGGCGTCTAAGAATATATGATTGGTAACGCATGGATGAAACCCTTCTTATATATTTCGTCGGACTTTCTTCTATTCTCGCGGCAACGCGCGGGGACGGGGACGCTAGTTTTAAATAAAAGAAATTTACTGTACTAATTAAGTGTTTGATGAAGCTAATATTTTTTTAAAAAGAAGTTTACTGTACTAATTAATTTTTAAATGAAGCTAATATTTTAAATAAAAGAAGTTTACTGTACTTATTAATTGTTTGATGAAGCTATTTTTTAAAGACGTTTACTGTACTAATCAATTGTTTAATATAGCTCCAAAAAAATTCAAAAGTTTATGCTACTCTACAATAATTGCAATATAATGTTTACCTTATAAACAACTTTTTAAAACAAATTAATTTTACAATGTAACAAAGTTGGCAATGAAGTTTTACTTTAACATTAAGCTAATTTAAACTGTAATGATCTAGTTGTACTCGTGTTTTCAATTTTAAATTATGCTTTATAATATACTTTATATTCTTTTAGATTTGGGCATGGTAAAAATGTAAGTCTTTAACTGTAAAGAGACGAGATTTAGATTAATTGTAATGGTAAAAATGTAAGTCTTTAACTGTTAAGAGACAAGATTTAGATTAATTGTAATTTGAAAGTTCATGTGATGGGAAATTAAATCGACATGATAAGCAGAAATTAGAAAAGGTCTGATATGTATTTTAAAACGTTATTTGGAATTAATACTTGTAAAAACGTTTGAACCTAAATTAACCATCTTGTTAGCCAAGCCTCATCGGTTATTTCTTCTTTTGGAATAGCTGTAGATTGTTAGGGGATATCCTTAAAAGACGCCACGCTTTTATTTGAAGATTTTACCTCCCCCCTCCCATCCGTCACAAGAAGCCAGACTTCACCGTAAAATGACGTCACACCTCAGTCAACAACCTCTCACCCCCACCCCTCTCAAAAATACACTTGAATTAATTGTTTTTAAACCTCGATTTTTTTTTTCTAAAATATTGACTGAGCTTGACCAACATAGGGTAGTTAAATCCATTTCTATTACAATTTATTAGAACAATTTTCTAAAGCTAAAAAAAAAAACGGCTAAAATTCAGTTTCTAACATTACTTTTTAAAATGCAATAGTATGTCAAAATATCTGAGCCCCCCTCCCCCTAATCACACGTCACAAAATTACGCCCCGCCCCCCCCCACCCCCGTGTGACGTCATTTATGTAGGACCCTTTATTAACGTAGTCTGTATCATATTTTACTTCTACAAACAAGACACGGTCGGAGTCACGTTGAGTTCACATAATTAGTTTTTAAATCAGTAGACCTATGGCATACATCATAGCAGGAACATATCTATTTTAGACTGACGTCATTCCCCCCCCCCCAAAAAAAAAGCAGTAGGCTACTAAACAGGTACTTGGGGTCAGAGGTCACAAGGGCCACTTTTGCAACAGAGGGGCGGGTTAGTTTAGTCCTCATAGTCACCCTTTGCAAGGATTCCAATATTATGTTGAGATTAGAAGTTAAAACAACGGTCGATAAATTAGACAATAGTTTAACTATAAAGGCGGCTGGCAATAGCGCTGACCACACTATCTCTTCATATGCCGAGGTCACAGAAACAAGTGAACTCTACTTCACTTGCCCCGTAGACCGTCAGGTTTGAAAAGGAACTTTACTTTTTTTTCTAGCTCGACTATCGCGCAGGCGAGATTTATTGTAAAGAAACCAGACTTGGGAAATGTAGGTTGTATTATCAGTGCGGCATTATTTTACATTACTTTTTTCAGTGTTCTTCATACATATTTAGATTCTAACTGAAAATATCAGATGAAAATTCGATCTAAAAAAATTGCATTCAGAAAAATTCGGAAATCGGAATAGATTCTAAATCCTGACCTGCGTTTAATCTTATCCCAACACCGTCACACATTGCGCAATTGTCCAATTGAAATGTGCTTTTTCGTTGTCCGTTCTACCTAAGTTATGTAATACTCGATTTGAATAGGAATATGTGGAATATGTGGAATATGTGGAATATGTGGAATATGTGGAATATGTGGAATATGTGGAATATGTGGAATTTGTGGAATATGTGGAATATGTGGAATATGTGGAATATGTGGAATATGTGGAATATGTGGAATATGTGGAATATGTGGAATATGTGGAATATGTGGAATATGTGGAATATGTGGAATATGTGGAATATGTGGAATGCGCTTGTCAGCCGTTGCCATAGAAGTCATTTCCGTTATATTTTTCCCGAATTTTTAAAACCTCGTCAAAATTGAACAATCAGGAGAAAATGAATTCAGCGGAGGAAAATTGCAGCTGATACGGAAAAAATCGGAAAAAGTCACATCCTTGAGATAAAATATGTCATACCACTGACGTGCTACCGACGTGCTACTGACAAACTACTGACATACTACTGACAAACTACTGACATACTACTGACATACTACTGACGTGCTACCGACGTGTTACTGACAAACTACTGACATACTACTGACGTGCTACCGACATACTACTGACATACTACTGACGTGCTACTGACATACTACTGACATACTACTGACATACTACTGACGTACTACTGACGTGCTACTGACATACTACTGACGTACTACTGACGTGCTACTGACATACTACTGACATACTACTGACATACTACTGACGCGCTACTGACGTGCTACTGGCACTACTGACCTGCTACTGACGTACTACTGACATATTACTGACATACTATTGACATACTACTGACATACTACTGACGTGCTACTGACGTACTACTGACACTACTGACATACTATTGACATACTACTGACATACTACTGACGTGCTACTGACATACTACTGACATACTACTGACATACTACTGACATACTACTGACACACTACTGACATACTATTGACATACTATTGACATACTACTGACATACTACTGACGTGCTACTGACATACTACTGACACTCTACTGACATACTACTGACATACTACTGACATACTACTGACATACTACTGACATACTACTGACGTGCTACTGACACACTACTGACATACTACTGACAAACTACTGACATACTACTGACATACTACTGACGTACTGAGGTGCTACTGACATACTACTGACGTACTACTGACGTGCTACTGACATATTACTGACGTACTACTGACGTGCTACTGACATACTACTGACACTACTGACATACTACTGACATGCTACTGACCTTCATCAGACGGTGAGATAAATGTTGAATGTTTTCGCTGACCGTCATCGTTGTAAACAACAAGGATGGGTTGTTTGCTCTCGTGGTGTTCATTGCGCTGGGCAAACCTTATAGCGCTGCTGTTGATGGTGACACCTGGTGACGCCTCAGTGGTCACCAGCAGACCTGCAACAGGGTGGACAATGTCATCAATCATGTCATCAATCATGTCATCAATCATGTCATCAATCATGTCATCAATCATGTCATCAATCATGTCATCAATCATGTCATCAATCATGTCATCAATCATGTCCTATGCGAATGTATGCATCAAAGTTGGTCTTAGCCCCGCGCACTATAAAATGGTTTTGACAGCTATTGCTGTGCTAGCTTGACACAATGTACGGTGTGATGTGCACGCTGGGATATCCTAGACTGTCGCAAACTTTTTTCAACTAGTGTTGAACTTGAAAAGATGGCGGACGGAGGGAGTAATCATTGACACTAGACTCGACTGTTATTTCAGTCATTTTTGGCTAAAGGACGTAACATATTCTGTGCTGTTACCAAAGGTTAGATACTTTTCTCTATTTATTAATAACAGCATATAATCAATATATATTATAGATAGACTACGATATATGGCGCAAAGCAGTGTGTCATTTCTTTTTTACTTACTTGTATACGAAGTATAGAAGAAGTATTGTAATCATGCCAAAAAAAATCAAGATATTCATAGATCTCGACGTTTTACACCTCCCTGAGTCGGAAAACATAGTTTTGCAATTTTGTCCGCATGTGTGTGTGTGTGTGTGTGTGTGTGTGTGTGTATCTGTAAACACGATAACTTGAGTACCGTTACAGCTAGGTTGGGGGTCATCAATAAATGACGTCACGCTTTTTTGACGAGTGTTACCTCCCCCTCCCCTCCGTCACACGTCGTCACATAAAGCCAGACCCCCGCACCCCCCCCCCCCCCCTAAATGACGTCACACCTCAGCCTACAATCCCTCTCAAAATAGCAGTTGAATTTTTTTAAACATCGATATTTTTCCAAAATCTTGTCTAAAATATGTCAAAATAGAGTATTTTAATCAATTCCTATTATCTATATACTACTAAAACTCAAGTTTGTTTACATGTTTGAATATTTATTTTTTTGTTTTTTTTTTTTTTTTTTGTTTTCTTTTTTTTTGTTTGTCTGATTGGCTACTGGAGAGAATCTGCGCTATGTGTAGAGCTGTAAAATAGAATGTAGGTAGAGAACAATTTTTGTTTTCAGACAGACTGTTAATCACAAATTTATTTAAAGACGTTAATTAATTTATTGATTTCTTCATTGGTAGATTAACCACATTAATTTTAAAAGTTTCAAACAACGGCTTTACTTTGACGGAATAGTGACGAACATGATTTGTTTACTTTTTAGTACAATCAATGGCGGCTCCAATAAAATATTTCGAGGCTTATTCAGAACTTTAACGCATTATAAAGCTAATTTTCTGTCGGCTATAACTTTAACAATAAGTCCGTTTGCTGTATTTATTACGTTCCAACACATATCAATTCTCAACTGTTTTTTTTTTCATTTAGTTTTACAATAAATTTCTCTAGCTCTACAATCTGTCCAAGAGAATTATTTATAGATCTAAATTATTTATAAATCTAAATATCAGGTGGCCAAGAAAGTTATTTATAGATCTAGATCTAGAATCTAGGTCAAACCAAAGATTAATTAGTTAAAAATACAATTCATTTTGAAATCATAATACATTTTTGAGTTTCTTTATTAAACTACTTTAGTCCTTAATTACTTGATATAAATCTTTGTGATTTATGTACCTAGATGTAGAATAGGTCTAATCTAGATCTAGCAAGAGCTACGCAAAAACTAGACTTAAGCAAACCAGTCGTAGAATATAGATAATTCTATCTAGATTTAGATAATAATGAGTTTTTATATACTAAACTATTTCAGACCTTTATTATTTCATATAAATCTTTGTTTGTTTAGCTATGGAATTGGCTAATTTAAGATCAAATTTAATTTGAAAGTTACTAGACTTAGATCTAGATCTAGAGATAAGGCCTATGCGCGTAAATCAAGTTGCATAAGGAGACTCAACGTATTATTATATAGAACAAAAACCATCAGTGACGTCACGAGTCTAGATAGCTAAGTTGTTAGTGTAATAGGCTTTCATGCGGGTGGCACGGGTTCTAGACACATCACGTCAATGTTTTAAAAAAAATTCAAGTTTTTTTTTAGATGTGAATAATAAAGTTGCCTATCTGAACTTGGCGGGATACAGGGCAGGTGAAGTAGAGTTCATCTGTTTCTTTGTCCTAAGCATATAAAGGGATAGTGTGGTCAGAGACATGCTAGGCCGGAATCGTTTTCTTAAACGATAAAAACAAGTTGTCTGAGACTTGGCGGGACACTGGGCAGGTGAAGTAGAGTTGAGTAGGTCACATGTGATGTCAGTATATGAAGGGATAGTGTGGTCAGACCTATGCTCAGCCGAAATTGGTGTTTTTAAAAGATAAAAAACGTCTTTTTGAATATGGGGTCTGGTTATTTTGTGATGATAAGTAATAGACGTGATGTAATTTATGGATGACACCCGAAACCCACAGATATCCAAGGGATGACCGGGTAAGTCTAGTAATTTATTAAAACTGTTTTCTAAAACGCTAAATAACGTCTAAAATTCGTTTTCTAACATTTCTTATCTATAAAGCAAAAGTGTGACGTCGCACCATCTGAACCCCTCCTCCCCTCCCCCATCACACGTAGTAACAAAATTACCGACCCCTCCCCCCTACGAGTGTGACGTCATTTATGGACGACCCCTTGATGAAATTTTATACATAAGTATTATATCAAATGTGCTGTATCAACTTTTCAGCGATTTCCGATTACCGGAAGTGGAAATTATTCTACTGTCAATTTTTTTTTAAAAAGACTTTAACTTGAGTACTATTTCAGATAGATAAATGAAATTTCACATGTAAGTAAAAGATCTAATTCTCTGCCTTTTGTCAATTTTTTAAATAATTCCCGTCGACCGGAAGTAGTAATTTACGCTATTTGCGATTTTTCAAAACACGCATGTGAATTTATAAAGTACTAATAATATGCCGCACTATTATACACATTTTGTTTGGCGTTCACTTGGTGCGCAATTCATTTTTCTAAGACATTATATTCTATTTTTAAAAGTTTAAGTAATTAAAGATGAATTTAAAATCATGTCTATATCCCGAGTTGCCATCCTCAGTCGTGTTGTTTACGAATATTCGAGAAAGTGTAGGGGAGATCACTCCCGATTTTTTTACTGTCTCGTATACACAGTTTACAGGAAGTATTGTAATCGTACACAAAAATCACTTGAAATTTTGACTGTTTTCACCTTTTTACTTCTCAGTACTTAATCATATAGGCCTACGGAGTATAGGGGGCTTATTTTAATCGGGCAAAAATTATAAATCCAGATTTATCAAAAATATCGGCGTTTTACGCGTAATCGAGTCGGAAAAACTGGACTTTGCAATTCTGTCCGTGTGGTTGTGTGTGTGCGTATGTGTATGTATGTATGTATGTAAACACGATAACTTGAGTACAGTTACTGTTAGGTTGATGAAATTTCATATATAAGTATTATATCAAGCGAGCAGACCCGCGGCGTATCATACGTCGGTATTTAGTTGTTGTTTTTTCTACTTTTACAGTAATTCATAATTTGTGAATTCGACAGTACCAATGCTGCCACTGAAAATATTTGCTTTATCAGTAGCTCGTTAAGGACGATAACCCCCCCCCCCCCCCCACACACACACACACACACACCCCACCCTCCTTTCGGGTGATAGGGAGCGCGCTTACAGCTTGTTTTCTAGCGTCTCCAAGAAGAGAATTATATATATAGATTTGCAGTTCTGCATTAAATTCTGCATCAAAATCAAGTGGGAGTGAGTTCCCTTGAACTTTCTCGTATATTTTTATGTAAGGGGTTTTTAGCAGTCTGTGGCACATATTGGAAAAGATGCATGTCTATAAATAGAAACTAAATATAGAAAGTAGGTTCTGTATTTATTTCCTTGAAATAAGGTAAAATAATAATTTCCTTACAATAAATCGAATGTTGGAAAATACCATATCAATGTTTAAAACACGTCGCATGGTGATATAGCCTTTCGCATCATGCTCGTACTACTTCTTCAAGGTCTGGACGATGTCGGCCCCCAAAAAACACAAGCTAGAGGACGACGAGTATATGATCAGCCCTGTCTACTCGCCCAGCACGTCCATGGTGGGACCCCCGTGTAGCGGGCTGGAGAACAAGTATCTGTCGCGAACTCTGGCTCATGTTTTGCCAGACTGTTTGAAAGAAATCTGCCAAGTCCGACCTGAGGATCCTGTGGAATATCTGGCTCACAGCTTGTACACGGCGGCGGATGCGGAAGTTGAGTTCTACAAGAAACAAATCGAGCTGACCGAGCAAGAAATCGCACGGAAAGAGCAGCTCCTCGAGTCAACTGCTCGCTCCTTGAACGTGCAGAAACTCTGCGCGGAGATCGAGAACCTCCGTCTACAGCTCGCTAGGCTCAAGCAAAAGAAGGAGTCCTTGCCAGCTCACTCAAGCCAGCGACGTTACAGCTAGTGACCTGAAAATATCTTAAGTTGAGAATTGGGAGAATTGCTCTCCAACTATTCTTATATCCCCCAGTCATGTCACACCCCCTAAGTCATGTCACACCTCCCAGTCATGTCACACCTACCAGTCATGTCACACCTACAAGTCATGTCACACCTCCCAGTCATGTCACACCTCCCAGTCATGTCACACCTACAAGTCATGTCACACCTCCCAGTCATGTCACACCTCCCAGTCATGTCACACCTACAAGTCATGTCACACCTCCCAGTCATGTCACACCTCGCAGTCATGTCACATCTCGCAGTCATGTCACACCTCGCAGTCATGTCACATCTCGCAGTCATGTCACACCTCCCAGTCCGTCCGTCCTTACCACCTCATGTCACAAACAACAAAAAGATCTAGATGATAAAATTTAACTCTCTGCAACCTACAACGTGTTTAGCTTTATGTGTTTATGTGTGTGTGTATATATATATATATATATATATATATATATATATATATATATATATATATATATATACGGCAGTAAAGTAAAGAAATGACAAAAAAGACGCATGTTTTATAGATTGTGAACCCTGCAAATATTATGCGCATACATATTGCTTAAATTAAAGGAAGTGTTGTTCCCAACATTTTTAATTTTATTCGCATGTCTGCTCTTTTATCAGAAAATTTTTGGCGATTTTTCAAAATTGGCACAATTTGTTGTGTTTTTTATTCCTTTTGATTTTATCAAAAAGCTAGAAAAGCATATTTCAGTTCAATTAATTTAAATTATGAGTTTGTTCTTTAGATATGAAGAAAATTGGGCGTGTTCTCTGTATGTATGTTTGTGCTGAGTTCAAACGATTGAATTTGTATCCTACACTTTTTCTGATATAACCCCTCGAATCGGCTCATTTTAGGTTGTCGAAAAAGTGGAAGCCAAAATTTTTAAACCCAACAACTGTTTTACTTTCTCGTATACGAGGAAATACTGTAATTCTGCAACAGATCGAAATCGAGATTTTTACAAATCTCAGTGTTTTACACCTCCCTGAGTAGAAAAAATCTTAGTTTTGCAATATGTCTGTATGTGTGTGTAAACACGATAACTTGAGTACTGTTTCATAGTTCATTTATGTTGACGAATTTCACATAAAAGTATTGCATTAAATTTGTAGTTCTGTTTCAATTTTTGAACGATTTCTGGTTACCGTAAGTTGTTACTCTACTTCCGGCTTCTGAAAATGTACTAATTTGAGCATTGCTTCAGTTAAAAAGACGAAATTTCATGTAAAAGATTTTGTCAATGGGTCACTTTTTTTTTTTGAGTGATCTTCGACTCTATTTATGTTTTCTAAAATTACGATAATTTAAGTACCGTTTTAGTTAGGTAGACCAAATTTTAAACGTCAATATGAATACTTATTCATTTGATTCTGTCTAATAAATTTTAAGCGATTTCCGGTAGTGCTTTTCGCTATTTCCAATTCTTTAAAAACAGATGAGCAATGTATCCTTTAAAAGATAGATAAATGAAATTTCACATATAAGCAAAAGATCAAATTCTCTGCCTTCTTTCAAATTTTGAGTAATTTCCGTTGAACAGACGAAGTAATTTTTGCTATTTCCGATTTCTCAAAAAAGAAAAACGCATGTGAATTTATATAGTACTAATAATATTCCGAACTATTATACACATTTTGTTTTGCGTTCACTTGGTGCGCAATTCTTTTTTCTACGAGATTATAATATATTTTTAAAAGTTTAAGTAATTAAAAATGGAATAAAAATCATTTCTATTTCCCAAGTTGCCATCCCCTGTTGTTTTATATAAGAACTAGACTACCCATTATCTAGTTAGATAACTGTGGCTTTCGGGGGTCATCCTTTAATGACATCACGTCTGTCACTTATCATCACAAAATAACCAGACCCCACATTCAAAAAGACGTAAATTGAAAAAAAAATTTAACATTGACATTACGTGTCTAGAACCTGTGCCACTCGCATAGCTAAACAAAGATTTATATAAAATAATGAAGATCTGAAATAGTTTAGTATAGAAATTCATTATTATCTAGATATAGGCCTAGTTATCTAGATTCTAGATTCTATACGACTGGTTTCGTTAAGTCGAGATTTTTCCGTAACTCTAGACTCTAGCTAGATCGAGATAGATAAATCACTTGTATTCTTGAATTAGATAGTCCGTGAAGCTAAAAAGCAAAGATTTATATCAAATATTTAAGGACTAACATATTTTAAACAAGAAACTCAATAATTATAATTTATTGTGATTTTAAAGTGGTTTTTATTTTCAACGAATTAATTTTGGTTTGACCTAAATTCTAGATTTTAGATCTAGGATTGACTTTCCATTCCCCCGACAGCTGATCTCTAGATCTAGAGTAATTTATTGTATACTCAAATTAGAAGAACTGTTCAAAATTGATAATAGAATTGGAACATAATAAAAATAGCAAACAGACAGAAAAAAAACTTTTGAATGGGAAACAAAATCTTCTATGAAAGAAGCCGCCATTATTAATGTAAAAAGTAAATAAATCAAGTGACGTCACTATTCACTCTAAGTAAAGGTATTGTTCTGAACTTTTATAATTAATGTGGTTAATCTACCAATGAATAAATCTCTCCTGTAACCAAACGGACAAACAAAAATAAATAAATAAATAAATATTAAAACATGTAAATAAACTTGAGTTTTAGTAGTATATAGATGTTCGAGAAAGTTTATAGGAAATCACTCCTGCTTTACAACTACTTAAGATATATGAGCAAATTTGGTATCCACCATCAATGTTCCCTCAATGTTCCCTCAATGTTCCCTCAATGTTCCCTCTAAACTGCGCGGTTGCATGGTCGCGCCGTGGTTTTGTAAAATAAATATATCCCTGTATAAAACTTTTAAACAGAAAATACATTTTGCACATTAGCTTTTCCTCCTTCGAGGGAATATTGTCCACCATCTTACAAACTTAACATAGCAACTTTCAACTATTTTAGAATACCAGTTTCACATACTGAATGCAATATCGCTTCGAACAGCGGCTAAAAATAAATTCGGAGAAAGTAGATTTTGAACGTGCGGCATTAGGACAGATGTCACTGCAGCACAATTTAATTTATAGGTCAACTTGTTGGGGGGGGGGGGATTGTTTAGCCTCATGTTTAGGCTTACCTAGATTGGTGTGTTGATAGACTTACCTAGATTGGTGTGGTGATAGACTTACCTAGATTGGTGTGTTGATAGACTTACCTAGATTGGTGTGGTGATAGACTTACCTAGATTGGTGTGTTGATAGACTTACCTAGATTGGTGTGTTGATAGACTTACCTAGATTGGTGTGTTGATAGACTTACCTAGATTGGTGTGGTGATAGACTTACCTAGATTGGTGTATTGATAGACTTACCTAGATTGGTGTGGGTCCCCAAGTGCCACCTGAGAACGGCCTTTGTGACGTTAAACACATACCAGCCATGCGCATGCGTGCTGACTCTGTGTGCATCGAGTAAATCCAGTTTCTCTGCAGTGACGTGGTCACATATTTGGTAGACTTTGATCTTAAACAAGAGGGGTACATCTACATTAGCAAGAGAACCTTGTACACCCATTTCAAATGTCATGTCTTTCATCTAAAACAGCCCATTTCAAATGTCACTAGACCACCCGTCATCCTTTGGATAACTGTGGACACAGAAACAGGTTAACTCTACTTCACCTGCCACGTGTCCCGCCAAGTCCCGCAACTTTGTTATTCAAATCAAAAAAGAATTATTTTTTTTAGAAAATATTTTTTTAAGATTTCATGATGTGCCTCGAACCCGTACCACCCGCATGGTAACTGTTACACTATCATCATAGATATATGGGCACTTACAATTAGATGCTGATTTAGTTATATTATTTACTTAGTGTCTGCAAAGTAAGAAACTTCAGTTAGGCGAATAGGCCCTATTATTTCAACTTAATTAAATTATATCCCAAATTAGCTAATTCCATAGTTAAAAAAAAGATTTATATTAAAAAATTAAGGCTTGAAGATTATTATTGACATAGCATAGATTCTAGATCTAGATAGAGGTAGATCTAGATCTAAATGTAGAATACGGCTGGCTCATGCTTAAGTCAAGTTTTTCTAGATCTAGAATCTAGAGATATATAAATCCCTTATATTCTCGAATTATATGATCATGGAAGCTTAAAAAGCAAAGACTTAGGCCAATATCACATATATATGTGATTAACAGTTTGGTCAAGAAGAACATTATTCTCTACCTAAATGTAAGTCTTGCTAGGAGGGGGGGGGGGATAACTACACTATGTACCCACCTAGGCTTATCTAAATAAACTGTCCGGTCAGTGCACCCGTGGTAAACCCCATGGTGGTTAAATCTTAATCTTAGACTAGATAAGATAATGCCAAAAATAAAACAAAAAAATTTGACAATTTAATAAAATTTATTTCACAAAAATGGAACCAATCTTTTAAGAAAAGATATTAAAAAACTAGAAACCAAACTAGGCGAAACAAAATAAGTATTTTACAGCTCTACCCATAGTGCAGATTCTCTCTTGTAACCAAAGAGAAAACAAAAAAAATAAATAAATAAATAAATATACAAACATGTAAACAAAATTGAGTTTTAGTAGTATATAGATGTCTTTCATCTAAAACAGCCCATTTCAAATGTCATGTCTTTCATATCATACTTTGATCTAAAACAAACTAGTAAAACTTGCGTGCAGGACATGGACGGAATGTTTCTACGTTAGGCGAATGTATTTAGGCGAATGTATTTAGGCGAATGTTTTGACTGTAGTGCTGAGATCACTTGACGCCAGCCAACTTTGCACGGCCCACGGTTTGACGGCCTCGTGTCGAGTGGAGCGGACTTAATGCTCGTGAACTCAGCACGAGCAGAGCTGGATGATGAGAGAATTTCATTGGGTTTTGTTTACTCGCGCTCAGTGGGGGGAACAAGCCATTGACTAGCCGGAGATGCCGCCATTGACTAGCCGGAGATGCCAACTGACGGCGCATTTCAGTCCGCTGAAAGGGCACGGAGCTGCGCGTCACCGAGAATAAAGCTGGGGGTTTGAATGACACGAGGCGTGGTCTTGTGACGTTAATGACATCTGACATTGCTAGCCATGGATCACTGACGTCACACAAAAACGTGTCCACCACCCGCTAATCCTAACCTACTAGCTGTCACTGTGTGGTGTCGCTGTGTGGTGTCATTGTGTGGTGTCACTGTGTGGTGTCACTGTGTGGTGTCACTGTGTGGTGTCACGTGTCACTGTGTGGTGTCACGTGTCACTATGTGGTGTCACTGTGTGGTGTCACTGTGTGGTGTCACGTGTCACTGTGTGGTGTCAATGTGTGGTGTCACTGTGTGCTGTCACTGTATGGTGTCACGTGTCATTGTGTGGTGTCATTGTGTGGTGTCACGTGTCACTGTGTGGTGTCATTGTGTGGTGTCACGTGTCACTGTGTGGTGTCACTGTGTGGTGTCACTGTGTGGTGTCACGTGTCACTGTGTGGTGTCGCTGTGTGGTGTCACTGTGTGGTGTCACTGTGTGGTGTCACGTGTCACTGTGTGGTGTCACTGTGTGGTGTCACTGTGTGGTGTCACTGTGTGGTGTCACTGTGTGGTGTCACTGTGTGGTGTCACTGTGTGGTGTCACTGTGTGGTGTCACTGTGTGGTGTCGCTGTGTGGTGTCACTGTGTGGTGTCACTGTGTGGTGTCACTGTGTGGTGTCACTGTGTGGTGTCACGTGTCACTGTGTGGTGTCAATGTGTGGTGTCACTGTGTGCTGTCACTGTATGGTGTCACGTGTCACTGTGTGGTGTCATTGTGTGGTGTCACGTGTCACTGTGTGGTGTCATTGTGTGGTGTCACGTGTCACTGTGTGGTGTCGCTGTATGGTGTCACTGTGTGGTGTCACGTGTCACTGTGTGGTGTCACTGTGTGGTGTCACTGTGTGGTGTCACTGTGTGGTGTCACGTGTCACTGTGTGGTGTCGCTGTGTGGTGTCACTGTGTGGTGTCACTGTGTGGTGTCACTGTGTGGTGTCACTGTGTGGTGTCACGTGTCACTATGTGGTGTCACTGTGTGGTGTCACTGTGTGGTGTCACGTGTCACTGTGTGGTGTCAATGTGTGGTGTCACTGTGTGCTGTCACTGTATGGTGTCACGTGTCATTGTGTGGTGTCATTGTGTGGTGTCACGTGTCACTGTGTGGTGTCATTGTGTGGTGTCACGTGTCACTGTGTGGTGTCGCTGTGTGGTGTCACGTGTCACTGTGTGGTGTCACTGTGTGGTGTCACGTGTCACTGTGTGGTGTCGCTGTGTGGTGACACGTGTCACTGTGTGGTGTCACTGTGTGGTGTCACGTGTCACTGTGTGGTGTCACGTGTCACTGTGTGGTGTCACTGTGTGGTGTCACTGTGTGGTGTCACTGTGTAGTGTCACTGTGTGGTGTCACTGTGTGGTGTCACGTGTCACTGTGTGGTGTCACGTGTCACTGTGTGGTGTCACTGTGTAGTGTCACTGTATGGTGTCACGTGTCACTGTGTGGTGTCACGTGTCACTGTGTGGTGTCACTGTGTGGTGTCACTGTGTGGTGTCACTGTGTGGTGTCACGTGTTACTGTGTGGTGTCACTGTGTGGTGTCACGTGTCACTGTGTGGTGTCACGTGTCACTGTGTGGTGTCACTGTGTGGTGTCACGTGTCACTCTGTGGTGTCACGTGTCACTCTGTGGTGTCACTGTGTTGTTTCAATGTGTGGTGTCACTGTGTGGTGTCACTGTGTGGTGTCACGTGTCACTGTGTGGTGTCACGAGTCTGGCATTAAAAAGTAAAGAATAAACTAACCACTAAATGATGAGGAATCCTTTGGTCGTAGGTCAGCCCTGTCTTCATCTTAAAAATTCGAAATTCTGCTTGTTTGATGGTCTCTCCCTCCTCGAGGTAGGATATGTTGTATTGGAAATGTTGCCGATGTATGGGATCTGTTGACAGAGTTTTTTAACATTAAACCCACTTTACAAGACAATTTTAAACGTTCAAACATATGTAGACATATGACATAAGGTGGATATATGTGGACATGACATAAGGTGGATATATGTGGACATATGACATAAGGTGGATATATATGGACATATGACATAAGGTGGATATATATGGACATATGACATAAGGTGGATATATATGGACATATGACATAAGGTGGATATATGTAGACATATGACATATGGTGGATATATGTGAACATATGACATAAGGTGGATATTTGTGGACATGACATAAGGTGGATATATGTGAACATATGACATAAGGTGGATATATATGGACATATGACATAAGGTGGATATATGTAGACATATGACATATGGTGGATATATGTGAACATATGACATAAGGTGGATATTTGTAGAAAATATGACATAAGGTGGATATATGTGGAGCATATGACATAAGGTGGATATATGTGGGACATATGACATATGGTGGATGCAGGTGGGCTAGTAATGACGTCAATACTGAGAGCGTAAAGACTCAGATCACGTGGTCACTGGTGCACACATACGCAGGTGAGATTTCCAGGTGCGAACGTTGGCATTACGTCTGGAACTTTATTGTACACAGGCTGGGAACCTGAGCTAGACAAAACACAGGTGTTGAACAGGTGCGTCGTTAAATCCATTGCTTGAAATGTCTGCTGGTAGCGTCGACAATACAAGCATTCAAGATTACAAGAGTAGCGGTCCCTGCCCACAAAATTAGCGTCCCCTGCCTTTTTTATTTTCTGTTAGGTTATATCGACCTGACCGAAACTATCTTATGTAAATATATATAGGCCTATATATATATATATATATATATATATATATATATATATATATATATATATATATATATATATATATATATATATATATATATATATATATATATATATATATATATATATATATATATATATATATATATATATACTAGCGTACCCGTCCCCGCGCGTTGCCGCCGGGATAGAAGAAAGTCTGACGAAATATATAAGAATGGTTTCATCAATGCGTTGTCAATCCTATGATTTTAGACCCGTGACCTTCTTTTCTTGTTTTCTAAAATAGAGTTTTTTAAATGTAAACAATGCCTGCGCTTAGATCATAAATATCGGGACACGGGTTTATTTACACTACCACATGAAAACTTTGAGTGTACGTTAGTCACTCACCGAAAAAATCAGGTAGAACACACTTCGGTGACCGCCCATGTGTCTGGGACGTAGAGGGGCCCTCTCGGGAGCCCTCGATTACACTACCGCAGAGGCGCAGCGTACGGCCCCTGGCTAGTTAAAACTAACATAAGCACCAAAGTGCTCACATGATAACACATAACACCAAATAGTATCCTGAAAAAATGATGTAGATTGCGTCATTCGTCTAAGTTATACAAATCAACAGGGTTTTTTCTTTACCACGTACAACAATAATATTTGACGTGTTATAAATATCAGTTTGACTGATGCAATTTGTTTGTGTTACTAATGGTGCATTATTAGAAGCTCGATCTCAATTTCTGATTGGATCGTCTAAAAATAGATGCTTAATTGCATCATTCATAAAGTGACGAAACTATTTGGATTTTTTATGGACAAAAGGAAACAACCCAGTTAATAATCTAACCTTGGTTAATGTTTCTGATTATTAAAAACAAATGTATTACAGTGCCCTCACCGGCTCATGTGAGCCTGTCGGGGTGGAAATTAAAATTTTTGTTCGCAAGAAAAATCGCATCCTACCAGGACGCCGGCGGACAGCCTGATTCAATTTAGTGAGCTACTGTAACGCCCCATCTGATCAATTGTCTATCACACTGTTAAGAACGAACGTAGTCGCCATAGCGCTCACGGGAAAGACTAGGGCGCCAAATCGCATCCAGCCAGGGCCGCCAGTGCGAAATTAACCCCTACCCCCCCCCCCTCCACGTAACCCTCACAGGAGTATTCATTAACTCCCTAAAATTTTATGGAACTCAGATAAACGATGTCAATCCGCATCCGACTTTAATTTCTTGTAATATATCGTATATAGATAAGAATCGCTTCCTCCCGGGGCGCCGCCCTTGCGAAACTAAATTTTTGTGTGTGCAGAAACCTCACCTGGAGTGTTCTAATCAACTCCCCAAATTTTCATGGCGATCGTATGAACGGTGTGAAACCGCAATCGACTTTTATTTTTTATATACCGCATATAGAGAAAAAACAAATCGCAGAGGCGCCATAGTGTTCGCAGCGGAACCCTTGGCGCTTCGGGTAGTGCAATCTATGGGGCGCCGGCGATTGCGCCTGTTGTAGTTTTAACGCTGAATATAGTAGTATCCCTTACCCGCTATGCAGGACGTACGATTAATGGATGCCAAGTGTTAACATAGCCGTTCTAGAACTCTGGGCGCCAAATTGTGTATTGACGAAAATCGCACCCTCCCTCCCGGGTGCCGCTCTAATCAAATTTTAATTATTTTGTTATTAGAAACCTTCCCGGGAGTAGTCTCATCAACTCTTTAAAGTTTCTTAGCACTCAGATGAAAGGTGTCGAAACGTTAAGACTTTGATTTTTTTATACCTTATATAGAGCAGAATCGCACCCTCCAGGGGCGTACCCTTGCTAAATTAAAAAAGATTGTTTTACAGAAACCTCCTATTGAGTGTTCTAATCAATTCCCCAAAGTTTCATAGCACTCGGATGAATGGTATCATACTGCATTCGACTTTTATTTTTAATATACTGTATATACAGAGTTTCTTCCAGGCATCTCTTCGGGGGGGGGGGGGGCGGAGTCTACCGCCCCCCCCCCCCCCCCGAACGAGATGGAATTTATATAGTAAAAATATACTTTTACTATTGTCCGTCCCCCTCCCCCGGAAAATGTTGACCGCCCCCCCCCCCCCCGAAAATATCAAGTGCCCCCGGAAAAAAAGTCTGGAAGAAACACTGCGTATATAGAGAAAAATAGCACCCTCCAGTGGCGCCCCCCTTGCGAAATTTAAAATGATTTGTTTGCAGAATGCTTCCATTCAGTGTTCTAAACAACACCCAAAAGTTTCATGGCGATCGGATGAACGGTGTCGAACCGCAATATATATATATATATATATATATATATATATATATATATATATATATATATATATATATATATATATATATATATATATATATATATATATATATATATATATATATATATATATATATATATCAAAGTATGTGTGTGTTTGTCTTTTATTCATTACTACACCTTTAATCCGATCGCTATGAAACTTTGGGAAATTTTTGAGAATACTACTGGGGAAGTTTCTGCGGGGGAAAAAAGTAATTTAGCAGGGGTGTCGCACGGCAGCGTGCGATTAGCCACCCCTGGCTTTCCCGTAAACGCTATGGCGCCTACGTTCGTTTTAAACAGTGCGATAGACTATGAGTAAGATGGGATACTGTAGTCGTGCACTAAATTGAATCAGACGAGTCCACTGGCGCTCCAGAAGGATGCGATGTGGCACCCTGGGCTATCCTGTGAACATTATGGTGTCTACGTTCGTTTTAAAGAGCACCCTAGAATTCGGACTTAGTGTCACACGATATTAGATGATTTAACAGAGCCAGGGGCCGTACGCGGCGCTCCTGCGGTAGTGTAGCCAGGGGCTCACGAAATCGCTCAGCTGCGTCATCCACATCCGGGCGGTCGCCAAAATGTGTTCTACCACACTATTACAGAGAGTGATTATTATGAACTCAAGGCTTTCATTCAACACGCCATGGCGTGTGCTGGACGGTAATGTAGGCAAACCGATGTCCCGACAAATATGATCCAAGAAATTTAGCGCCGACATTGTTTACATTTTAAAAACTCAGTTTTAGAAAACAAGGTCACACGTCTAAGAGTATAGGATTGGTAACACAATGATGAAACCCTCTTAAACTTAAAACATTTCGTAATACTTTCTCTTTCTTTTGAGACCGCGGCAACGCTCGGAGGCGGGTACGCTAGTATATAAATAAATAAATTATATATATATATATATATATATATATATATATATATATATATATATATATATATATATATATATATAATTAAAGTAGTATAGGCGAATATGGTATAGGCGACGGAGAATAGTAACGCAGATAGGGTGACGAACCCAAACCACAGTTAAAGAAATAACAGAACAAGCCGAGAAACTTGACGGGGAATGGGACGTAAACCCAAACCACAGTTAAAGAAATAACAGAACAAGCCGAGAAACTTGACGGGGAATGGGACGTAAACCCAAACCACAGTTAAAGAAATAACAGAACAAGCCGAGAAACTTGACGGGGAATGGGACGTAAACCCAAACCACAGTTAAAGAAATAACAGAACAAGCCGAGAAACTTGACGGGGAATGGGACGTAAACCTAAACCACAGTTAAAGACATAACAGAACAAGCCGAGAAACTTGACGGGGAATGGGACGTAAACCCAAACCACAGTTAAAGAAATAACAGAACAAGCCGAGAAACTTGACGGGGAATGGGACGTAACCCAAACCACAGTTAAAGAAATAACAGAACAAGCCGAGAAACTTGACGGGGAATGGGACGTAAACCTAAACCACAGTTAAAGAAATAACAGAACAAGCCGAGAAACTTGACGGGGAATGGGACGTAAAAAGTTTCTTCCAGCACTTGTGGGACTATTTCTTTTTAACTTGCCTCCTCTGTCTTTTGTTTTGATTAATCACTTCGTCATGGATCGAAACTGCCGAAAGATCGTAGCAGCAACCCAGCGCTTGGGGCGAAATATCAATTTTGCGCCCCTGCCCTCTCATCCCCCCCCCCCCACCACACACTATACAAACATTGTTATTAACGTTGGCAGAAAAGCATTTTGGGCATTTCTAACTGATAGATACGGTTCAAAGTTGGCACGTGGGTCAAGAGATGAAGACAATGCAATCTGACATTAA